AAAACCCCACAAAAACACCAGTCAATATATGCATCATTATTATGAGAGCTTTCATGCCACGAGAGTCCCGAAGGCAGGAGGTGCTGACATAATGAAAGACAGTGGTGCCATCTACATATTCATAGCAGGAGGTCTGGGGGCATCAAAGTAGGTTTTTGGGATAACAAATGCCACAAGGATCTTTGAGAATTAAGAATGATCATGAAGGGGACTTTGAAATTGAAAACTGGGACCAAGAACGCTTGGATTTAAGACTTACAAACAAAGGGTCATGCTAAATTTCAGAAGAGGAGGCTGGGGTACACCAATGAAGGCCAAGATCTCAGCCGATGTCAGAGGCCATTACAATTTGGAGGCTAAGATGGCCTCTGAAGACGCCATAGGGCAATAACTCAACTGGAAGGATGTCAGTAATTTTGGGAATGGGGTCACCCTTCTTCAAAAGGAATACTGTTCCCTGTGCTGAAGCTACAAGCTGGGTCAGTAGTTGCTGTGAGAAAAGTTCATTTACAAAGAATTCTCTTACAAAGAATTACAAAGAATACTATATGTACTAACCAGGATCTGTCTATCTCTTTGCTCTAATTAAATTTTAGAGTTGGACATAATCATTCTTACTCTGGCATGAAACACTGAAAGCTGGCTAAAAATGTAAAATCCCAAAGTAATTCAATATTTGCTAGATTTGAAGGAAGTAATCAATTTCTAATTCGAATTTATGCACATTCTTTTCCCACTTTAGCATTGTCGTATTTCCCTTAAGTTCCTCTTTGGTCATTAAGATTGTCTGCAAGGTTATAGTCATTGAACAGTTTGTCACATGCTGCAGATATTTCTAGACCAAATTAAACTCTCAATGTACTTGCATATAACTAAAGAAAAATGTATTAGGCACTTAAGGACAGATACTTTATATGTTCTACATTCACAGCCCCATTGGTCCACAGAGAATGGCATCTCTACTAGGTATTCAATAAATATTTGCCGAACGAATCAAAGAAAAAAAATTATCTACCCTCTGATAGAATTATGCTCACATATTCCAAAATCTCAGGCCCATCTGACCCAGCACGTGTGCATGTATCTATGCATGCACGTGCTCTTCAAATTCCCACGTGCTCAGCCGTCGAGTTGAATGCATTATTCTTCCTCCTGGCATGCGTGTCTGTGTAACAAAACACCGAAGCAAGATTCACCATGAAAATCGTCCCTAGAAAGATACTTTAAATTAACATTTCCCTCAAACATGCCATCCTTCCAGCACCTAAAAATTGAACTCAATTTTCATGAGGGAAGCTGTTCCCGTCTCCCTAGAAAACATATACTTTTAAAGTTTGAGCTCCAATTCACATCTCCAAGTTCATTATAACAGAAAGGCACAGTTTACTTGTCCCTGGAAAATTCATTTTGAACCACTTTTCCTAACACAGCCTCCTTTCATGTCTGCTTAGACTAATGTCCAGCACTTCTTCCATGTTTTCAACTCTTACTACTTCTTGAAGTCAGATTCCCCCATCTGTATTCCTGAGGCAGGATGACAAAAGCCAGACTACACTTCAGTCTCCTAGGATATCCTGCCCTGGAGATGCTCAGCAGGCAACTGGAAATTGGAGTTAGCCTGGAGCTCCGGAACGAGTTAAGGATTGGAGAGGTCAGTTTGGGAATCATTAGTGTAGAGGTGAAAGGTGAAGCTATGTGGGGAGATGAAGTTACCCAGAATGAGAACATAGCAAGAGAAGAGAAGCAGATCAATGACAGGACCTTGGGAATTACTCCATTTAAATGTGTGAGGGGGAGGGAGAGGCTGTGTGAGTGTGTGTGTGTGCGCACGCATGCGCTTAAAAGAGATCCCAACAAAGGAAACTTAAGAAGCATTGAGAAGAAGAGAGGAGGTGAATCAAGATAAATGATGAATGCTTTCAGGCTAGAGAAGATGTGCAAAACACCAGAACCTCCAAAGAGTTCAAGAAGACTGAGGCCACAGAAGCAGCCAATGGATTTTGAAACCTGGCAGTCATAAATAACCTTTAGGAAAGCAGCCTTCCTATGTCATTTTTGTGGACTTTCTGTGCCCACATGCGGATGTGGTTAAGTGTATAGGCATGTACCCCAAACTACCATAAGATTAAATATTGGACATGAGTAAGACTGTACTGGGTGTGTCAGATAACAGTAGTAATAACCACTACCACGTACTGATGGCTTATAACGTGCCAGGAACACTGCCAAGCACTTGATAGGCCTGATCTCAATTTAATTTTTGCAGCAAGTCTATAAAGTGGCTACATTTTACATGTGAAGAAACTGACAGCCCACAGAAGTTAAATAAGGTACTCAAGGTTGCGCTGTGAGAAAGTGGCAGTGCCAGGACTGGACTGGAGGACGGACTGACAGTAACACTTGAGCCATACTGATGTGAGCTGGGTCCTCTATGCGCGGGGAGGAAAGAAAGAGCTGATAGTGGTTGACGGTCTCCCATTGCGAAGTGCTTTGCTTAGGACGTCCCCCTTCACACATATACCATCAACACAATGGCTATGTTTAGGGTAACCTTACAAAGGCATATTTTTAAAAACTCTGACTCAGCTTTTTAGAAAAGAAGCTGAAGCCACAGGATTCTAAAGCATCCCGTTATAATTCAAATGTATTTACTATAATAGCTCCCAATGGTTTGAACGTTAAAAAAAAAAGTGTGGCATCATTGATTTGGTGGTTGTTCCTGACACCCAAATGACTGACAGTCCAACTCATTTGAAAAGTGAAGGAATTTGACAGGTGATCTAAAGGCCTCCTCCAGCCTTGAGCTTCTCTGATTCTCATGGGCGTGTCTCATGCCAATAATTTTAAAGATATGGAGTATGGAGTGGAATGTCAAGTGCAGCAGCAGAACTGGCTGGTACATCAGCACCCTCTCCTTCCTTAAATGTATAGAGGCCTACGGTTAAAATCTTACAAAAACAGTCTTTGGTTGTTCAAACCATTGATTGCTAACTTAAGCAGAAACTTGGAAACTCCATCACAAAATGATACACTGAAAATCCAGCCAAATCATTTGCTTACAAGCAACTGCAGACCTTATAATATGGCTGGCTGTAGGAAAAAGAGAGAGAGAGTGACACTCTGGCAATTAATGTTTTTGCTGTCTATAGAAAAACAAATGAGGTTCTGGTCTGAAACAATTAGTATCACTGTTAATTGTGCATGTGCGTAGCAATAATACAAGGCATTTGGGATGGCTTCCACTGATTGTTCCCTTCTTTCTCTGGATTACAGAATCCATTCAGACAACTAAATAATAGCAAGCATTTATGCAAATTGTTAATTATGAGGCAGAGATCATCATAATCTTGTATATTTCTCAAACTGCATGTGCAGTGGGGATTACCAAATGAATCGTTACTTTATTATTTTACTAGTGGATGAAAAATATATTAGCCTTGCAAATGGTTTTCATGTATCATTCAGCCCACCAGCATTAAAAATGGCCCCAGCGACATTTACCAAAGCTGTTTCTTCTCCATCTCCCCATCTGTACCTCTCTTCCTTTCTCACAAACGAAGAGCAGGTATAAATTTCTCTGAGAATAACTTCTAGTCAAACTGATCAGCGCCATAATCAAAATAGAGCACGTCAAGATCCATTCTGTGATGCACCAAGACTGGTATAGATACATGCTTCTATTGTGCAGTAAATTTTAAAACAAAATGAAAACAAAATTCTCAACATTTCCTGTTAAAGCAATTCCTGGGATAATAGCCTGTATGTCATTGGCCATTATCTTAATGGTCATCTACTATTTTATTTTACAGATGAGGAAATCAAGGCTCACAGCAGAGATGGGGCTTGAGGAGAGTCACTCCACTCGTAGTGGCAGAATCTCATACTCTCGCCACCAAGCTACATCCAGTCTATGATCTTTAAATGCCCTTCCATACTCATATTGTGTGATTAGGGGTCTATGTGGCTCTATACCATTTATCCCAAGGAACTGTAATCTGACCACAGAATTAAAGACTGAATTTACTATTCTCAGCTGTCGACTCCACTGAGGCCCTAATGAGAAAATGGAAGCCCAGCTACTGAAAGCCAAACTGGGCATTTAAGAAGTGGCCCATCTATTCTATTTGAATGAGAATCTGCCCCTAGTGGAGGAATCCCAAGTCTACCACCTTTGCTGCCTAACCCTTTTGGCCAGGGGGTATAGGATGGGGGCTAGGTGGACTAGAAGAGAAAGCAAAGACAATGGTAAATATTTCTGGTGCCAATAAGCCTGTAATAGTCCAAATACAGTGCTGGTGAGCATCGTGATCTTAGAAAACCATGTGCCAAGCAACTAGTGCACACATTTACAAATAGCTAATGATTCTCATTAGCCTCTTCAGCCCTGGTTGCAATATGAGGGTACTGCAAAGGTGCTGTTCTGGAGCATTCTTGATACCCCTCTACCCCCACAGTTAGGAACTTTCCTGTGTTTGGTTAGATTTGCTCTGCTGCAGAGTTCCTGTCATAAAGGCCCCTCACCTATGGGATTATTCTACCTTGCAAGACTCCATATTTACACACTTTAAAAGCCCTGATATTTTCAAAAAATTGATTTTCCCTCGATGAAATGCTAACCTAGTTGTTCCCTAAACTACCAACCAGCCTAGTGACAGGCAGGCGTGCCAGAAGCACTGAAAAACACTTTGTCAATGGTGACATGTTCTTTGCAAAACACTCTACTGATGACCAACTGCCCAACTGTCTGGGATGCTGGCCCTGAACATCCATCCCACTTCTGCACTGGGTCAGCTTTACAGACCCGAGACAACGTGCCTGTGTAGTTTCAGCTGTTTTAGACTTAAAAAAAAAAAAAAAAAAAAAAAAAAGCCCGAGAAAGAATTTGTCCAAACCAGAATCTAACTATTCATTGTACTGAAATCAAACCAATAGGTGACTGTAGAGTCTGTTTATTCTAGCTTACTTGGGTTCAGTTGAACTAAAAATACATTGTCACTTACCTTGCTGCATCTAGAATCTGAAAAATCCTCCACCTGTTAAAGGAACAGTAAAACCAGGTGCTAGCAAGAGCTTGGTAAGAGATGAATTAAAATAATAAAAGTTTTCCATTTTGCTTTGCTAGTGTATATTTTTCCAGTTTCCCAAACCACAAGGAAACAACTCATGGATGGCTCCTCCACATTGCTCCCTATTTGCTCCTCTCCAGGAGTGGGGGATTATGAATCAGGGGGCACAGATGGGCAAGGCAACGTGAGAGCCAGACCTCTGGTGAGGCTATCAGCTGAGAATGATAGATCCATCACTCGGTCATGCTCGTTCCTTGCCCTTCCCTAAAGTGATGGCAATCTAAGCAAAACACAAATGTCAATAAACCAAAAACCAAACCAAACCAAATGCTATGGCGTCACTAATATGGAAGCACCTGGTGGAAAAGATCTAGGAGGAATTTCCAGGATTTTTTAAAATATTATCAGTAATACATGAAACACAAATAGCAAAAGGAAAAGAAAAGAATGATTAGACTTTGCTGATGCTCTTCAAAAAGATGAAAACTCAAAGCGCACACACAATGATCCATAAATTGTCACTCCAGTCCCTTCCACGCAAACACAAGACATCCACCAAAGTAAGCAATGTTTCTCCATGCAAAAACAAAACAAAACAAAACAAGGCTTAGCTGTTTTCTTAATATATGTCTTAAGAGTCACAAACACTAATCCTATTACATGAATTTCTGATATTAGCAGGGACTGGGAATTTGTGCACACGTCAATTGCTAATTTGAGGGTTCAAGTGGACTCAAATTAGCTTTTCATTGTGTATTAAGCCAGAACAAGGGATATCACAATGTAATAACACATTTGTGCCCAAAGTGACTTATACAGCAGCCTGTACATTTTCTTGGGACAAGTGCTTCTTCACATCGGATATGTCTGGATGCTCCAGAAGTGAGTTAAGAGAGACTTTTAATTGCTTGGCCAGCAGCAGAGCCTTTGCCTCATCATTTGAGAAACAGTGTAAGACTCTTATCATCAGTTCCTGGCTAAGCACCCGCTTCCCTGGTTCTGTGAGTTAAGACTGTGGGAGAAGCTAATGTTATGAGAAACAAAAGTGATGTACTTGGTGAGCTTGACAAAAGCTCTGTTGGACAAGATACCCCCATTAGCTGACTTACCATCCAGGGCCCAATGTGCTCTTCTTCCATTCCAGCCGCAAGAAAGAAGTAATCTAGAATGTTCTGACCTACCCCATGACCTAGTTTCCCTACACGGTGAAGAGAGGCTAGAACCTCTTCCACTGCACTCAGCCTCATGAACAAAAAATAACACAACTTTGGGTGAAAAATTAAGAAAAAAAACAAGGAAACACAGAGCTATATGTTGATTCTCAGTACTAGAAAATTCCAAAGTCAAATATGTAGCACATTCCAGAACCATAATTTTCATTCTACTGCAGTAATAGAAACCCTCAAATAATAGAAGTATGTACATAAATGATTTATTATATGGGGACTAGACCAAATTTAACTCTGATCAGGGGAACTATTATCTCTTGATATTTTTAAAAAATTTCTATGTAAATTTCTCAACTGCCTATGAAAGTTTGCCTGATGGTTGCACTGAGACTTTTGGGAGTTCATTGCCTTACCTGGAAATCCAGGTTGCCAGAAGTGGAATATTCAATGGTGATCCAGGAAGATGTTACAGGTGCATCAATCAAAATGGTGGGCAGTCATCAGAAGTGAATCAAAGGCCATGGAGAGAAAAGATAAAAAAAAAAAAAAGGAAAGGCATACTGGTTAGAAAAAATGAATTAACTTTATGAACCCATTTTACTCGTGCGCACACATGTGCACACACACACACACACTCTTTGGGAATGTTCTTAAATGGAATCTTTTAAAAGGGCTCTTTTTTAAAAAGAAAAGATTTATTCATTTGGGGGGGAGGGAGAGAGAGAGAAAGAGAAAAAGCAGAGAGCGTGAGCGGGGGGAGAGGCAAAGGGAGAGGGAGAAAGAGAGAATCTCAAGCACACTACGCTCAGCGTAGAGCTCAAGGACTTGAGGCTCGATCCCAGGACCCTGAGAGCATGACCTGAGCCTAAATCAAGAGACAGATGCTTAACTGACTAAGCCATGCAGGCGTCCCTAAAAGGGCTCTTTAATAAAAAGAAGGGGTAATTATAAAATGTGACAGAGATGCTAGATATCACTACAATGGCAATCATATTACAATATATAAAAATGTATTAAACACAGTATACCTCAAATGTGGGAATGAAAGGAGCACTGGGTGTTAGATGCAAACAATGAATCATGGAACACTACATCAAAAACTAATGATGTAATGTATGGTGATTAACATAACATAATAAAATTAAATTAAAAAAAAATCTTCCACAAGATTGTAAATTTCCTCAAGGCAGGGATTTGTGTCTGTTCTAGTCAATGTTGTTGTCATTGTTGTATGTTGTATGTCAACAATGTTGTATGTCAAATACATTTACTAAAAAATTACCCCACAAACAAGTTTGGTATTTCATATGTGCCAGGCATTATTATAGGTATTGAGGATGCAGCAGTGACTAGAACAGACACAAATCCCTGCCTTGAGGAAATTTACAATCTTGTGGAAGATTTTTTTTAATTTAATTTTATTATGTTATGTTAATCACCATACATTACATCATTAGTTTTTGATGTAGTGTTCCATGATTCATTGTTTGCGTAT